CCTCGGGGCGTCCGCAGAGGTTGGTTTGTGCGGCCAAAGGTATTGGAGGTTGGGGAGCGAGGAGTACTTCACTAAAAAAAATATAATCCGTGGGCATCCAACCGCCAAAAAATCAGATAGAAAAATCAGAAAAATTTAGAAGAAACAATGAAATTTAATTGAGCAGGCAGAAAAAAATCAGAACAAATCAAGAAAAAACAGAAAGATCGGTGTTCGCTTGAAACGTTAGTGAAGTGTCCATCGGGTTGGAACCAGTGGACAGCTATGTACTTGGTAAAAAAAGGTATACCTTGAAGTCCTAGGACACCAAGCCCGTTTGAACGTGCTGAATTAATTTTAGTGCCTTTATGCAAGCACAAAAAGTGTCCACAGCAACTTTTGTACATTTTACTGCCTTTCCAGGGGTGATTATCTTTTAGTCTCTCTAGCGCTTACCCGCATCACAATGTTATACCCGAAATAGTCCCAATAATCTAATCGAAATTGTTGCAGAATCTCCCGCACCATGGTATACGTGGTAGTGTGCGCGCGCTGGGGGCTGTCTGCACGGAGCCGACGAGGCCAGACCAACCCTGCGGCTGAGGTCGGCGGGGGCGGGTCGGGACGGGCGGGCCTCGCCACCTCATCCTCTGCATAGTGATTCTGCCGCCATCACATCGGAGACCGCAACAGTATGTGCCATGGCTTAGCAAAACGGTCGGGCCCGCGTGGGGGGAGCGAACACATACGCGCTCTCTCTCTCTCTCTCTCTCTCTCTCTCTCTCTCTCTCTCTCTCTCTCTCTCTCTCTCTCTCTCTCTCTCTCTTTCCCTCTCTCCCTCTCCCCCTCCCCCCCCTTTCCCTCACACACACACACACACACACACACACACACACACACACACACACCACGCTCTATAATCTGGCCCCTCCTATTATCTCACAGCTGCCCACCGGCCATGGCCTTACTGCATCGTGATTAACACACACACATACACACACACGTGCGCTCACACACACGCACGCGCACACACACACACACACACACACACACACACACACTGCATGTCAAGTAATTAGGGCCTGCTAGGGACCGCCCCCCCCCCCCCAAGCCCCGCCACAGGTACACGCTGCGTCACAATAGCCGCAGCGGCGATGTTTTTGTGTGCTTTTGTGCGGTTGGTCCACGCGGGTCGGATGGATACCATACTGCCGTGTATAGTGAGTCTGCGCTGCCGTATAGCCTCTGGCTAACCGCCTCCCCATACCGTGTACTACCGCATCTGTGTAGCTCTCTCGCTGCCCAACTTCAGGTTAAAAAGAAAAGAGAAAAACAAACAACGTGGGCTGTTGTTGTAGTTGTACGGCACACATCATTAAAATATCATCAACTTTTTGTTTTTTTTTTTAATTCACAGCTTACGAATTTACGTAAAACACGTTCCTCTTAGGGGATCATCCAGAAAGTAGGCCCGAAATCCGCCTTTTATATACGAAGCTGACAAAGTTTTCAGCCTCGCTGCGCAGCGCTCATAGCGCCTGATGGGTAGGCAACATCTCGCCAGCCGTGCACGCGTGTACCGCGGCCTGGCCTACCCCGAGTCTCACAGGCGCCCTGGCGTGAATCTGAAAGAAACGGAAGAACTTTCTGGACGATTCCTTGCGCTTTTTCTTAAAAAAAAAATCGACTACTGTGTACAGATTTATCCGTACTGTCGCGTGCAAAGGGTCCACGACGTAGACCGAAATAAAAGCCTCTTTGATGAAATGAATTATGATTTTCTGTTAATTTATTGAGATCCACACTGGTTAAAAAATGCGCAAGCGGAGCATGTTTACGGAAACGTATCAGCATTAAATTATAAAAAAAGATGATGAGATTTTACCGTGCACCGCGTGCACGCGTTCGCGGTCGGGCTGACAAAATTAGGGTATTAGGTCGAAGGTCGCACCTTTGCAGGGGTGCCAAACCTCATTTTGACTTTAGTGAGTGACACTGAAGAGCCATGAATCTGCTAACTTCTAATAAGAAGTGACTATAGTACCTTTAGTAGACGCCATACCTCCACCCCAGTTTCACACTTACGTCTATGGCTCCTCGGCAGATAAGGAATGAAGCTTCGATTTTGCAGAGGGTGTCAAATTCCTGCGGAAGAGAAAATGAACAAGAATATTATTTCCCCTCCCGCATTATTTATTCGATGCGACTGCTTTATTCGCCCACTGGGTGCTCACGTGGTTGACGTGGTCCCGCAGCACGTTGGAGTAGACGGTGCCGACGGCCTCCATGGCCAGGAAGGCGATGGTGCCGATCACCCAGGGCACGATCATGGGCGCGTTCTCCTGCGGGCAGACCAAAAAGACGGTTGTGTGAATGCGTGTGTGTGTGTGAGAAAGAGAGAGAGAGAGAGAGAGAGAGAGAGAGAGAGAGAGAGAGAGATGGCTCGCTGTTTAGCTGATTAACTCTGTGATGGAAGTTTGCTGTCACTATATCGAGAGTGGTTTCAGCGAGCGGCCTATGCCTGACTCAAACCACGAACTTCACACAAACAAACAAACAACCAAACAAACAAATAGATGGATAAACAATCAGGGCCAACGTTCTGGCTGCAGCCAATGGAGCAAAAAGGCCTCGCGGAAGAGGTAGCAGCAGCAGCAGCCGAGAAGCCAACTCGGGTGAGAAAAGGGGAGACCTCCAGAGGCCCCGCTCCGCCCCGCCCCGCCCGGGTCGTACTGTACGACTTGTGAGTTCGGCCGTTCCGTTCCGGCGCCACTCTTGCTCCGCTGCGCTCAGCTCAGGAGGGGTGCCACGACCGCCTCTTGTATCGAGTCGGGTCGCTGCTACTTTTAGAAGACAAAGCAGTGCGAGCAGGTCGCGCGCCCGCACCGCGGCTCTCGGCTCGGCCCCTCTCGGCCCTTGCCTCTCGCTACCTTTGGCGCGCTGCTCATTGCAAACAACTAACTATAGTACCGGGGGTGGTGCACCCTTAATAATTTCCTTTTGACCTCGGAGATGCCGACACTGCACTGGAAATGCAAGTGTGTGAATGTCGCTCACCTGCAGGTGAGCGACATTCCATTCGTACACTTAAGGGGGTAAAGGTGTGATTTTTTCCTGGAAATTTCACACGTTTACCCCCCTAAGTGTACGAATGGAATGTCGCTCACCTGCAGGTGAGCGACATTCACACACTTGCATTTCCAGTGTGGTGAAACAAAAGTGTGAAAAAAAACACGTCGTCTTCTCGGTCCGAAGAAAAGAACACACACTAGTCGGGTTCGATTTTTGTTTTATGAAACGCACACCGTCATCACCACGTACGTGTCCTTTCTTCTTCTTTTTTTTGCGTGGGAAGGGCGCATGCGGGACATAGAGAGAAGAGAGAAGGAGAGAGAGAGAGAGAGAGAGAAAGGGATGGGGAGGGAACGGGGATGCTGAGGCAGCGCCGTCAAACAGGCGATCAGCCGAGCGATCGGCCGGCATCAAAAGGAGCTCTGCCACCCACCGCCTTCTCCCCAACCCCTCCCCGCTCTGTGCGACAAATGAATAAAGTACTCGCACACGATCAGGGAAGTCCCACATGGCGCCGGTCCTCTTTAGGGCGTCAAACGCCGTAAGCACCCCGCAGCAGAGCCTTTTATGCTTCTTTTGTCTCGTTTTGACGATTTTTTTTGTGTGCTTTATACGCTTTCGTGAGCCCGTGAGCAGTCGGCTGGTCGGTTTGCGATCGCTCCGAATGACAGAGCAGCAGCACGGACCTTTTCGGAGCCCCGTTTCTTTCTTTCTTTCTTTCTTTCTTTCTTTCTTTCTTTCTTTCTTTCTTTCTTTCTTTCTTTCTTTCTTTCTTTCTTTCTTTCTTTC